CACCTTCTTATCTCTTTAGATAAGCTATAATGAAATATATTATAGAACAATCAAACAACAATATGAAAATCCCATAATCTCATAACACATATATTATAACAGGTTTTGTTACTCTTTTAGTTCCGGGAGCTCCAGGAGGAGGCGCGGAAAGGTGTTGTCCTTTTTCTGTATTTTAAACAAGACTTAGATTTAGTGTATTACTACCAAATAAAACGCTCTCGTAACGGTCGAAAACTTATAATTCCAAAACCCGACGAATACTCGGTTACATTTACAGAAGTGCCTTATCTCCCAAAACCCTTATCTCTTAACAAAAGGGCTCGTAAAAATTTGATAAATAAACAAAAGGCCGGAAGAACTATAGATAAGAAAGTAAATGTACGAATATGAAATAGAAACAAGATAAAACTAAAATAAAGACGTGGCAAAAAAAACGGTGAATTAAAATATTAAAATGTGAAAAAAATCCTACATTGAGGATTACAAAACTACACCAAGAGTCCGCAAAAGTTTACGCGAAGTCAGTTCCTATCTTTATTCCTATTCTTGGCTTTCTTGTATAACCTGTTTAGACTAGTCAGTGTATTTTCCGGACTCATCTTATTGTCTGAGAAAATTTGATGTCAGTGGTGCTGTTCCCTCAGGGCCATACAAATATATCAACATTCATAGGACGGACAAATCATAAAGCTGAAGAAAACTAGGAATAATTTTATTACATTAAATACATGTATTTAATAAAACGGTTAGGTTTATTATTTTATATTAACATTGAATATGTGTAATGAAGAAATTAGAATCAAAATAAACGTACAACCGTTTGTGTTGAACGTATCAACTAATTGTACAGGTTACTAAACAAAACAATGGCGAGAATTGTTGGATCGTCGAGCAAAGACAGTAAAGCATTTACTCGTTCATTGTCCCTGCTACCTGCAAATAACTCTGGAAACGTCGGATATACAGGTCTATATCATTGTTCTGTGTGTATCTCGGAGGCATCCTCATTAAGTTAACCGCCCTGTGCGCAGCATTTATCGGTGGATCCTCTGGTGTCTCTAGGATTGGTTCTGGTACATGCTCGGGTATCTCTCCTCCTTGGTGTGCCATATTTAATCCTGATCTTTAAGCTAAAAGGTTTATTTTATAATTAAAACTTTGATGATTAGGGGTGATTAAGTTTTTTTCCTCATTAACAAATAACGTTATATGTAATATGATTTGTTGTGGAAACGGTGCGCTAAATGGTTTCTAAACTTCCTTTGGGGTCATTTGGGTTGGACAGTTTTGGTGTAAGTCCGAGTATAACGAGGGTTGTTGATAACAATTGTCAGCATTCTATAGCAAAACAAAGCGTTGCAAAACCACGCAAAGGTATAGGTGTATGTGCTGCAAAATACATCTACTACAAGACCCTTCATTACAGAAATGGTCGTCACAATACGAGTTTTAAGCTAGAGGAATAAATTAAAATAAACTGATTAAATCCTTATAAAGTAAATGTAAATATTGGTATCGTTAACTGAATAGTGAATTTTAAAAACCAATCTACAGTAACATGTTTAACGCGAGATCACTTATCACAGGAGAGCTAAGATCAGTGATTACAATAGTAATACTTTATTTAATAAACGTATGCACAATTATTGGGATCATATTTATATATTCTTACATTTTAATGCTTAATGTAGTTATCATCGATTATAAAAGGTGAAATTAAACTGTTTAAAAATTATGAATAAGGTAGTAAACCTCTGTCGTGGATTTCATCTTGCAAAGCGAGTAAGCCATCAGAGCACACATGTCCAGTAGATCTCGCAGTTACCGCATCTTCTCGATGGAAATCCTGCAAAAAAACTTCTTCGCCATACCACCTTCACAAGTGTTTGTGCATCCGTCTTCGGCTGACCCATGTTGCATCTTTCCCATAGTACAAAACAGCTTTCATCTGCTTGAGGTAATACGCTCGTGCTTGTGATGATTGTGAGAAGATTTGTAGAAGCTTAGAGATTTTTGATAGTGTGGTTCCTATCTCCGAAATCTTCATATCCTTGAATCCGGCAGCCTAAAAAAGTGTATTGAACGAACAGAGCAGGTCATATAACTTCTGCACGAATAATCTATTTATTGTATTTTATGTCATAACGTATGCAACTATAGGTGATTTGCCAACAATAGGTGATTTGCTACCAGTACCTGTATTGCCTCTAAAGTATTCCCGTCATTATCCACGATCGGCTCCGTGACCTTCCCACCGCGAGAAACTTCATTCTTCAAACAGTTGACCATGCTGACATGTTCTTCCTTACTGCACTCAAACAATAATGCACCTTCGATTGGGAAAGACAACTGATAACTGCTGGTAAAATTCTTTCTTTCTATTTAAAATTAAACCGATTGCAAATCTCATTGCATTCGTGACCTTCTATTACTTCTTTTACAGGGTGTTCCAAGACTCGTGTCCAAACTTTGAATTGCTCTCATTTGGCGCAGGAAAACGCTAGAAGCTTATTTTTTCACCATGTTGTAAATAAGCGTTTACATTTTTTCTTTGAAAATATGAAGTCGAGAATGCTAGAGCAAGTGCCCGAATTAAGTATCTTTTCTAGAAGTTCGATTTTTACATTTTCTGATACCTTTTTTCTGTAGTTTTCAATAAGTTGGCGTTTCCATACTTTTAGCAGAGCCACTTAACGAGTTGTTGCACTCACCTTTGTGTTGCTTCAACCCGCTCCTGGCATGTAAACTACACATTCTGGTGTAGCTTTTGTAGGCCACTACTTTATTGGAATTTTCTGCAACCAGCATCATATGGACTGTAAAAATGTTTGAATCAATCCCCGTGTATAGTAATGATAAATAACAAATCCTGTGGAGTGTGACAGTTTAATTTTGCAAGATTTTGCGAGATAAACAAATCACTTACCAGATTGAGCATTGTTGTGGGCACGATTGTGCCAGCCAAAGTCACCTCTCACACAAATACCACCATCCGGTCTCTATATCATCAGAAAGCTTCTTCTTTCCAACTCTGTTACAGTGTGGCGGGAGCCATGTTACTATAATTGTAATTGAAACTGTACATCATTGATTTGAATTGCTTGAAGTCAGGTAATGACTGCGTTAAGTCAAGCATATTTTATTATGAAGAATAGAAAAAGTTAAAATATTCAAGTTCAAATTATAAACAAAACAATTGAAACAGTAACAGGTAAATTAAATTACCGTTCTATTATATTCTTAGCCCACTGCAGCCCTCCAATATCTTCTACAACCAAATCGAGAACATGGCACAAACAGGGAATGCTGAATACTCCTAACTCGGCTGTGAGCCTGGCCCGGGCTGCTTTCATGTTTGCTGCCGTGTCAGTCGAAACAGCCACAACTGTGATTTATGTTATACCTTATTACATAATAAAATAACTTTAAATCCATATTAAACCAATTCCAAATAAATACCTAATAAATAACAATTATAAATACTTACCGATTAGATGGTAGTCTGCTGCCACTGATCTGCAACTCTCCGCTCCAATCGGTTAATCCGGTGTCATTACTAACATGATGAACCCCAATTTTAAACACATTTCAGTTACTTCCTCATCACTCATGCTGAGGTAATTTTTACATGACAATTGTTCAGTCATTTGTAATGCGACAGTCTGGAAGCATCGGCCGAAACCGGACCAGTAGGTCCGGATGTATACAGTAGGCAGGATGTATTCGGTGAACTCCTCTATGATTGTGCCAGCGGAGGGATCGAAGCGAACAGAAGCGAACAGAAGCAATCTGAGAAATGTTGGCCATCAGAATGAGTGTATTGAAGAAGTATGGTATGTGTAACAATGTGGTATGTATTCAAAATTAACATCTATCTACTTTAGATAATCATCCAATGTGCATGAAGATTTTAGTCATAGTTATTGTGTTATATGTCGAGAAGACATAATATGGTGTTCAGTATGATATTGCTATAATTTTCACCTGGAGTATATCATTCTACTATTTATGCCTAATTTCTGAATAAAAGTCGCTAGAAAATCAATTTGCTTTGCACTGTCTGCTAATTATATTGATGAGGTGCCCCTGATTTGCAATGCCAGAAATCAAACTCTAATAAGAGACCCTCCACAACTGATATCGGAACAGAGATTTCCAGCTCAATGAATAGCTCCAATAAATTTCCGATGGTAAATTTACCAAGATGTTCAAAATTTCGTATTGTGCCTCATTTTGTGCAAGCTTTAGGCCTCAGCCGATTTTTCTATTTGAAAGTGAATTGAGCTTCTAAATCGCTCAACATGGCTCTGATTCCTTCCATGACAATTTCGTTTGTGTATTCACATTCGATTCCTCACATAATGAGATTTTTTTAGGATTTTAAAGGACGCTGTTATCGCAGCAAGTTCTAATGTATATTATGGTGCAGGTTATATACTTCACATACCCTTTCTATACTTAGCGTATTCGATACTAGTTCCTGCATTAAGGGTGAAATAATTTAAGGACCATTATCAAAAGTTTTATTTTCAAATAAAAGTGGCATACCTAAAGGATCACATGAATTAATACCATATGGTTTCAAAGTTCTGAGTTTTTGTATAAGTAGATGTTCGTTAACTTCTAAATTACTAGGACTAGAATTCTTAAGGATAAAAACATTATAAGAAGCATCAAAATCAGGTCTATTGGAAAGGTTATGAGAGTCTATAAGGTGAGCTGCTAAACTATAAGTGTCACTATGTAAAAAAAGTTAATCTCTCGTCCCAGTGTAAAGGTGACCAGAATACCTGGGCCCCTTTGGCAAACTTCCTGAACTCAGGCAGCTTCAAGAACGACTGAATTTGAAAAGTAAAACTTCTTGTCTGAATGAACTATAAGAACCTCAAGAAGCTAATCCGCATGTCTCCGCTACTAAAATGTTTAATGAGCCCAATCACTCATCACTTAACGTAGTTTAATCTTCAAAGTGAGTCGTACAATCTAGGTTGTTTTAATACTTTCAACACTACTATATAACAAATAATTTGAGGTTTCTATTGTTACCATATACACCCAGATCTACGTTACTGTAGCTGTTTAAGATTTTCTAAAAACTTACAGTATAACATTACCATTCCATTAAATGACTGGTAGTAGTGACTTCCATTTATAACTGTCTCCACGGATTTTGGTCCAAACAACCCACATTCAATAAACGTATCAGCTACACCACTTCCTCTTATAAACTTGCCAGCACATTTGAGGGCAGTTTTAGCCGTATGAAAACTGCCCAGCATGAAGAAGTCGTCAAATAATTCGGGTCGATCTAAGTATATTTTGGTGACCAAATGGTAGACCCCTTCATCGCATACCACAGGAAGTACCTTCTGTTTCAGTTTGAACTGAGAGGCGATATTCTTAAAGTTCAATATGCAAGTATACACTGTTTCAATTTCTGTAATAGGATTTTGGATGAACGGTAAACACCCTATCTTCTTGCGAACCAGGAGTTTGTTTTGTTCAGATGTCAGAGAATTCATTCCTGACCATTCTCTTTCCGAGCTATTTGTTTCATAGTGGTAGCTACAACTTTTAAAATCTTCACACTTCACAGGCTAGCACATCTTCTACTAGTCACTAAATACCTTCTCCAACATACCTTCTGCCGGGATGTTTCTCTCTCGCTGGATCTCCTGTTCTAGACTCTAGTCCTCACCTTCTTATCTCTTTAGATAAGCTATAATAAAATATATTATATAACAATCAAACAAAAATATGAAAATCCCATAATCTCATAACACATATATTATAAAAGGTTTTGTACCCTTTAAGTTCCGGGAGCTCCAGGAGGAGGCGTGGAAAGGTGTTGTTCTTTTTCTGTATTTTAAACAAGACTTAGATTTAGTGTATTACTACTATTACTACCAAATAAAACGCTCTCGTAACGGTCGAAAACTTATAATTCCAAAACCGGACGAATACTCGGTTACATTTACAGAAGTGCCTTATCTCCCAAAACCCTTATCTCTTAACAAAAGGGCTCGTAAAAATTTGATAAATAAACAAAAGGCCGGAAGAACTGTAGATACGAATATGAAATAGAAACAAGATAAAACTAAAATAAAGACGTGGCAAAAAAAACGGTGAATTAAAATATTAAAAAAATCCTACACTGAGGATTACAAAACTACACCAAGAGTCCGCAAAAGTTTACGCGAAGTCAGTTCCTATCTTTCTTTCCTATTCTTGGCTCTCTTGTAGAACCTGTTTAGACTAGTCCTCTAGTCAGTGTATTTTCCGGACTCATCTTATTGTCTGAGAAAATTTGATGTCAGTGGTGCTGTCCCCTCAGGGCCATACAAATATATCAACATTCATCAGACGGACAAATCATAAGAAATAATTTTATTACATTAAATACATGTATTTAATAAAACGGTTAGGTTTATTATTTTATATTAACATTGAATATGAGTAATGAAGAAATTAGAATCAAAATAAACGTACAACCGTTTGTGTTGAACGTATCAACTAATTGTACAGGTTACTTAACAAAACAATGGCGAGAATTGTCGGATCGTCGAGCGAAGACAGTAAAGCATTTACTCGTTCATTGTCCCTGCTACCTGCATATAACTCTGGAATCGTCGGATATACAGGTCTATATCATTGTTCTGTGTATATCTCGGAGGCATCCTCATTAAGTTAACCGCCCTGTGCGCTGCATTTCTCAGTGGATCCTCTGGTGCCTCTAGGATTGGTTCTGGTACATGCTCGGGTATCTCTCCTCCTTGGTGTGCCATATTTAATCCTGATCTTTAAGCTAAAAGGTTTATTTTATAAATCAAACTTTGATGATTAGGGGTGATTTAGTTTTTTTCCTTATTAACAAATAACATTATATGTAATATGATTTGCTGTGGAAATGGTGCGCTAAATGGTTTCTAAACTTCCTTTGGGGTCATTTGGGTTGGACAGTTTTGGTGTAAGTCCGAGTATAACGAGGAATGTTGATAATAATTGTCAGCATTCTATAGCGAAACAAAAAAACCACGCGAAGGTACAGGTGTAATATACCTCTAGTACAAGACCCTTCATTACAGAAATGGTCGTCACAATACGAGTTTTAAGCTAATAAATTAAAATAAACTGATTAAATCCTTATAAAGTAAATGTAAATATTGGTATCGTTAACTGAATAGTGAATTCCAAAAACCAATCTACAGTAATATGTTTTACGCGAGATCACTTATCACAGGAGAGCTAAGATTAGATATTACAATAATAATACTTTATTTAATAAACGTATGCACAATTATTGGGATAATATTTATATATTCTTGCATTTTAATGCTTAATGTAGTTATCATCGATTTTAAAAGGTGAAATTAAACTGTTTAAAAATTATGAATAAGGTAGTAAACCTCTGTCGTGGATTTCATCTTGCTAAGCGAGTCAGCCATCAGAGCTCACATGTCCAGTAGATCTCGCAGTTTCTGCATCTTCTCGATGGAAATCCTGCAAAAAAACTTCTTCTCCACACCACCTTCACAAGTGTCTGTGCATCCGTCATGGATCCCACCGCTGTGGTCAACAAGGGCATATATGGGCTGTAATATCGGCCGACCCATGTTGCATCTTTCCCATAGTACAAAACAGCTTTCATCTGCTTGAGGTAATATACTCGTGCTTGTGATGATTGTGAGAAGATTTGTAGAAGCTTAGAGATTTTTTATAGTGTGGTTCCTATCTCCGAAATGTTGATATCCTTGAATCCGGCAGCCTAAAAAAGTGTATTGAACGAACAGTGCAGGTCATATAACTTCTGCACGAATAATCTATTTATTGTACTTTATATCATAACGTATGCAACAATATGTGATTTGCTACCAGTACCTGTATTGCTCGGGTCGAGTTCCAATCTATCTGGGCGTAGTATCCTTTCCATGAGTTGTCACTTAATTGGACGTGAATGAAACTGGACGTTACTGTAATCTGGTATTAAGTGACATCCTATAAATATAAAGATCATTATATATAAAAACAATACATCACAAAATTGTTCCCGTCATTATCCACAATCAGCTTCGTGACCTTCCCACCGCGAGAAACTACATTCTTCAAACAGTCGACCATGCCGACAGGCTCCATACTTTTAGCAGAGCCACTAAACGAGTTGTTGCACTCTCTACTCACCTTTGTGTTGCTTCAACCCGCTCCTGGCACATAAACTACACATTCTGGAGTAGCTTTTGAAGGCCACTATCTTATTGGAATGAATGGCCTGAACAAATGTTCGAATAAATACCCGTGTATAGTTATGATAAATAACAAATCCTGTCACATTTTAATTTTGCAAGATTTTGCGAGATAAACAAATGACTTACCAGATTGAGCATTGTTGTGGGCACGATTGTCACCTCTCACACAAATACCACCATCCGGTATGAGTGGTTCCTTCTCCAATACTTCTGTTGACAGAGTCCTCTGCAACCGTCACTGCCGCGGTCTATATCATCAGAAAGCTCCTTCTTTCCAACTCTGTTACAGTGTGGCGGGAGCCATGTTTCTATAATTGTAATTGAAACTGTACATCATTGATTTGAATTGCTTGAAGTCATGTAATGACTGCGTTAAGTCAAGCATACTTTATTATGTTATACTTTATTACATAATGAAATAACTTTGAATCCATATTAAACCAATTCCAAATAAATACCTAATTAATAACAATTATAAATACTTACCGATTGGATGGTAGTCTCCCTAGTCTGCTGCCACTGATCCGCAACTCCCCGCTCCAATCGGTTAATTCGGTGTCAGAACTAACATGACGATCCCAATTTTAAACACATTTCAGTTACTTCCTCATCACTCATGCTGAGGTAATTTATAAATGATAATTGTTCAGTCATTTTTAATGCGACAGTTTGGAATCATCGGCCGAAACCGGACCAGTAGGCAGGATGTATTGGGTGAACTCCTCTATGATATGGTGCTCAGTATGATATTGCTATAATTTTCACCTGGAGTATATCATTCTACTATTTATGCCTAATATCTGAATAAAAGTCGCTAGAAAATTCTTTTCCTTTGCACTGTCTGCTTATTGATGAGGTGCCCCCTGATTTGCAATGCCAGAAATCAAACTCTAATAAGAGACCCTCCACAACTGACATCAGAACAGAGATTTCCAGCTCGCTGAATAGCTCCAATAAATTTCCGATGGTAAATTTACCAAGATGTCAAAAAGTTCGTATTGTGCCGCATTCTGTGCAAGCTTTAGGCCTCAGCCAATGTTTCTATTTGAAAGTGAATTGAGCTTCTAAATCGCTCAACATGGCTCTGGTCCTTCCATGACAATTTCGTTGGTATATTCACATTCGATTCCTCACATAACAAGATATACAGTTTAAAGGACGATATTATAGCAGCAAGTTCTAATGTACATTATAGTGCAGGTTCTATACTTCGCATACCCTTTCTACACTTAGCGTTTTCTTTTTCTTATTGTCGTTGTGTAATTCAGATATAATTTTAAAATGTGTTACTGTCACTTGTCTTGGCTAATGGACCTTCATGCATTGACATGATGGAATTTGAATATATTGAATTACCTATATCTTTGGGGTTGAGTGCTTACTGATTTCCAAAAGTATTCGTCCTTTTCCTGTTAATGATAACATTTACCTGATTTTTTATCCTTTTCATCATGTTGTATTGAATTACACTCGCAATACTAAGATCAATGTATGCAGATTCTCCTTTACTAACAGGATGTCTATACAAGAGTAGGTTTACAAGTTCTATAAGATCATCAGCGGGAGATTGATTGCGGATATTTTCAATGTTAAAGGTACCAAAAACCTCATTCTCCATGGCAAGTGCCTCATTTGTAACCTCCTTAACTGTGTCATCCAAGGTTTTTTCACTGAAGTGGAGTTGGGCTAGACCGTCGAATAGTTTTCTGTTGAGAAAAATAAACCTTTTTTTCCATTAGCATTTGACACAACCGTTAAATGTTCGCTGCAGTGGGTTTTTAACAGTTTT